ATATCTAATTTATTTCCACATATGGAGGAGGCCTGAAACCCATCCCTGAATATCCGAATGCATGCGTTTATTTCTTGTTTACACGGTCATAGAACAGATCCGATCGGGGCCTAATGCTGCGTTCACACCAGAAGCGGAAGTAGCATCAAGCGTAAGTGATTTACATGTCAAGTCAATGCAAAGACGTGAGTAAACATCATCCTGTGGTGCGATACGCATGAATGAGGTGGCGTGAATGACACGATTTGCATGAATGAATCGGCGCGACTTGTGTGTTTTGCACGATTGATTTGGTTAAAGCGATTACGATTATGACGTAGCACTTATTGTAGGTGTCCCGGGGGAAATCCTCCAGCTGACAATGACAACAGTTCATCAAACTGGGCTGGACTCAGTCAGAAGCACCGCTGGAAGCTTCCATCATCCAGGTATAGTTTCTGAAGGAGTTGATGAACTCACAAAGCTGGGCGCACCTCTAAAAGGATCTTGTGGACTCAGACTGGGCTCCAAACGAATCGACGCTGTTTTCAGCCTTCATGAAGCAAATAAACACAACTGTTCTCTTAATAAAATCCATGTTAGCCATTTAGCAACAAAGCTAGTCACCTAACAGACAGAAGCCCATCTGCCCATCACACGAATCCGCGTCTGTTGTGAAGTGAATTTGACACGTTAATAAACTGGATTTGATGCGGAATTAAGCCAGTAAACTAATGAATAGCATGATTAATCTACCTTCTTCTGGCGTGAACACAGCATAAGAAAACTGCAAATGCATTTAGTCATTGAGGGAGTTGTTCATATGGCAGTAAACTGCTCTTTCTGGTTGAGTACCATGTATATCTGTATATATTCCAGCATGAGCTTTCATTTGTGCTCTTCTCTCTGTTTTCAGTACATTGCTGCAGGCTCGCTCTCCATTGCTGCTGAAAACAAACATGATTCACCAACCAGTTTGTGTTTGGTATGTACACAACACTTGTTCTGTTTATGGGTCTAAACACTGGGTGCTTGTAATCATTTGATCTGTAGGGATTCAACCATAAATGTTCTTTTTTTCCTGCCCTTATAGTGTATTTGAATTGAGATATTACAATTCGTAAAGATCTAAAACTTGTTAGGAAGGTCCTAAACATGCCCTTTTACTCAGCCAGACACTATTCCGGTGGAATAATCAAACAAGCTGTACATTGGAGAAAGCCACAATAAAAAAGTAGATTTTCACACGCACACCAGGACTATTATTGCTTAACGAAGTGTTTAAGATATTTTTTGACAGTGATTTTCACGGGTGATGAACACGGAAATTCACTCCATGACATTAAAGCTGCGGCCAAACTGGACTTTTCTCCCTATAGACTTCCATTCGTACTCATGCGAATGCGTCACACCGGAAACGCAATGTCATGCGTCAAGTTTCGCAGGTTCAAGCTTGGTGAACTCTGACCTGCAAAATCGCATCACTTGACAGCATGAGAACAATCGAGGTTTTAAAATTTAAAAAGAAATTTAAAACATAGAGCAATCAATCACCTTTTTAATGTCCCTGCTAAAAAATCCAGCTTAAACCAGCCTAGGCTGGTTGGCTGGTTTTAGCTGGTCAACCAGGCTGGTTTAAGAGGGGTTTTGGCCACTTCTAGGCTGGTTTCCAGGCTGGTTTAAGCTGGACGTAGCTGGTTTTGGCTGGGCTCCCAGCCTGGCTAGGCTGGTCAAGCTGGTTTTAGCTGGTCATCTCCAGCTAAGACCAGGCTGGAAATGGCTGGAAACCAGGCTGGAAATGGCCAAAACCCCTCTAAAACCAGCCTGGTCGACCAGCTAAAACCAGCCAACTAGCCTAGGCTGGTTTAACGAAGCACAGGTAGATCAACAAACATAATGAAATGAATAAAAACTGTAGATAATTTTTTAAATCTAGCTTAATCTTGCTGTAATCTTAGAATTAATCTAAATTAAAATGGCTCATTCGAATTCTGCTGAAGGAAGCCACCTTCCTGCAGATTTCAGTTGCTATCCATATCAAACACACCTGGATCAATTAATTAGGACCTGAACACCACCTGATAATTACAGGCAGGTGTGTTTGATATAGGTAGCAACTGATATCTGCAGGAAGGTGGCTCTCCAGGAACAGGGTTGGCCTCCCCTGTCCTAGCAGGTCTCTAGTAAGAAGTATCTGTGATTTCTTCCACAGGTGCCATCTGTTTCCCCAGTTGCGTCTCCACAGCCCAATTATTTCCAAAACACCTCAGAGGTAAGAGAAGCTTACACCACACCCTAAATAGACTTTTAGTAAAATAGTTCCCAAGTAAAAATCACCAAAACAATGTAACGGGGCAATAAGTAAGCACTAAATAAAGCTGACCGTATACATTTTGTCTTCCAGATTCCTGTGGCCAGCAACCCTTTCTTTCAACACCCTCCTGCAGAATCTCCCCCGGAGTACGCTGAATGTAATTAAACGTGGGTCAAGATGAAACAAGCGGGCATATCTGTGGTTAGGCTGCTTTGGTACTGGGTTTCCTACACTGTAAAAAGAGATATGCTACTTTTAAAAAAATTAAGTAAACCCATTGCCTTAAAAAAACAAGTTGATTTTACTTTTAAAAAAAATCAGTAAAACAATTGACCTAACGTAAAGGTGCTGTATGTCAGATTTTGACTCTTCTAAAGCATAAAAACACCATCATATGTTTGCAGATATTTCGGAAACATGCTAAGTGAACATTCTTGTTTATCTGAAGAACAATGCTGAAGTCAGATATTCTGCTTTGAAAGTGTGTTTTCCGTGCCGTAACGGCTGTCTTTGTTTTGGTCATTTAACCCGCCCAATTCCACTTTAGCCAATCATATTTTAGCACTCTGGGTTGCCTTGGTGGACATCAGCATATTTTATTCATTCATTCAGTCAGAAAGCCTCTTAAAGCATGCGTCCATGACCGAAATGTGACCTCTGGTGGACAGTAGCAGACTCAGAAATAAAACGCAGATTCAGAGTTCCACATGAGATTATTAATTAGCAAATAATATAAATATTATGAACGTAAATAGTAGGTGAGCAGGTTACATCGTAACCCCGTGTCCTAACAACACGCTACGTAACCAGATACGCAGTGATAAGCAGTTTAGCTGTTTGCAGCAGACAAAACATGACAGAAATGTAAACACAGCCATTCAGCAGCACAGAATAGTGCACTCACTGCACTCCACATGGAAAGGTTTATAATCTCATAAACACATTAAACCTCTTTAACGTAATTCACTGATATGTGTTGGTTTGCACCGAGTCTCAGTTCTGAAGTTCAATCTCAAAGAGTTGTTTTATTTTTCAGATCTGAGCTGAACTATCTGCTGCTGCTTTCAGTAGTATGGCAATACATGGCATGTAAAATTGCATTATTATTAGCATTTTACATTGAATAAAGCACATGAGGTGCACCTGAGCTAATCATTGTCAGTTTTCTGTTGTTCAGCTATGAAAACCGTTTCTAATATATCAATTTGAGGTGTTGATTAGGACAAAAACTCCTTTTAATATGGAGAATATTCCTTCTATTGCATGCTGTTGCTTTTATTTAGGACACAACTTAAGGCAGCCTTTAGGCTCAATAGTCAGACTCTGGCAACCTGCACTTGCATTGGTTTTGATCCAGGAATGTAATGCCTAGTTCAACCCATGGGTGTCAAACTTACTAACTTTTTTTTTTTACCTCTCAGGTTCTGCTGGTTGCAATTACAGAATTGTCATTGCCAATCTTGAGCCAATTGCATTGGGTTGCTTTGGTTCAATTTCGAATTTCCCCAACCATTGCAGAGCCTGGGGGACCAGAGTATGTGGTCCTCCCCCGGCCCCAAACTTACATACTGCACCTTTAACTTTTATAATTATGCACATAGTTTGTTTACACTGTAAAAAGCGATTACTTACAGTGAGTAAACTCAGTCCCTTAAAACTATTTGATTTTACCTTAAAAAATTAAGTATTTCTGTTGTAACTTAGAGCTGTTATGTTGACATATTTATGCAAGGTTCATTCATTAACTTTCCTTCGGCTTAGTCCCTTTATTTATCAGGGGTCACCACAGTAGAATGAACCACCAACTATTCCAGTATATGTTTCACACAGCTGATGCCCTACCAGCAGCAACCATTACACGCTCATTTAAACTACAGCCAATTAAGTTAATCAATTCCCCTATAGCGCATGTGTTTGGAATGTGGGGGAAAATGGAGCTGGAATAAAAATATACAAAAAATATGCTAAATCGATGATATTGGCATAGACGTTGCAATGAGTGAGACAATAGCCCCTTTCACACAGTGATACCGGTAAATACCCGGAAAATTTCCGGAAAGACTTTACTGGTATATTCAAAAAAGCTCTGTTCACACAGGCGAGGACGTTACGGAAATTTTCCGGAAAAGAGCATTCACACATCCATTCCAAAATACCGGTAAATTCTGACATCATTCACCACAAATGAGCTTTAAACGGCTGCGCTGGTATTTGTGAACATTTGACTAAATCACAAACTCTGTGGATGATCAATATTGTGAACAACTTTCGCAGGATCACTTTCGCATGTCGAGATGTTCATAATATGTGCGTGTGCAGGCGCTCACAGGCTGTTTCACAGGCACACGCAAAGCTTGAAGGTAAACAAACAACGGCTTATCATAAGCATCTCATCAATGATTATTTACACAGTTGGCATTAAGAAGAACATATAAACGTGATCTGACTAACTTCTAGCAGCTAAATGTGTCTGGAAAAATATTCGAAGGCTTTTATTTTCATAAACCGCGCGGACGTAAATGCGTCTGACTGTTGTGATTGGCTAAAGCAGACGTCTCACGTCAGCACGTTCTAGACGTGCACGCGCTTATTACGGTAATCTTCCTTCTGCATTCACACAGCGCAGCATTCCGGCAAATTACCGGAAAGGTCTGTATGTGTGAAAGGGGCTAATGTGTGAGGTTTATATATACAGCCTAGATTATTTTCTTTATTTAAAAAATAATCACTGTACTGGTTGTTTTGCGCATGTTTAATAGTTTGATGCTGTATAATCTGCAAGAATAAATAATTTTTTTTTAACTCTTCTTCAGAAAGTCAGTTTCCTCAGTCATAAATTGACAGTCACTCACAATAAAGTGCTACTAAACTTAATCAATTTACTTCTATTGTTGAACAAACTTAAACTTGTCTGGGTACAATTTATGTAACTGTGAATGAAATTTCTCTAATCTTGTTAGTTATTTTAAAGGCAAAGTCCAAACTTTTGTTTCCATTATATCTGATCAGTCTTACAATTACAAGTTTATACAATTTCCTTTTGAAAGAGAGATCTAATATTGGTGTTACGTGAGGAATGTTGTGATAAAAATACACATTTTCTCAGTGGAGTGTGTGTGGATGTAGACATGGTGTTGGGTAATCTATCATAACATCTGGAAAGCATTATCGTTCAGGAATTACATCCATTACAATATAAAGCTCTTTTTGGAGTTACATGGAAACCAAACTTGCTTAAAAACCTCTTGTAAATTTAAAGGAGACCAAAATATTTTTCAAACCAACTACTCAAATATAAGGTGGGGCAGGGGTGACGGGGGGCTTGGGCGGAAAAAGGTGAGTGATAAGGGGAGAAAGCTGAGTAGTACTCGCAGCTAGAAGGAAGAAAGGAACAAAAGGCGATTGGGTCGTGTCCTCGCCCTTGGAGATTTGTTGTGGCTGAGTCATGCCCTCGTCCCTGGGTGTCAGACTAGCTGGGTCATGCCCTTGGATGTTGAAGGGTGGGTGGCAACTGGCCTGCATAGATGGATGGGTATCATTTGTGGAGGGTGGAATGCATTTGAATAGAGGTGGATAATGAATGATGTAATGAGTAGGGGAAGTTCGGACAGCTTGTAGTATGAGGAAGATAGAGGTTTGTGAAAGTTGTGCAAGGGGTGATTCATGGGAATATCATCTCTAAATAGGGAGGGATGGGTGTTGGAAGCAGTTCTGTTTCTGGAGCTGGCTACTGGAATTCCTGTAAAGAAAAGTAAGAAAGAGCCCCTTAGCAATCTTGTAAATTTGCTTAAAACGCAAATGTATTTACCACAGTGTTGGATGGAACGGATGTTGTTACGGATGGAATGTTACTCTGTTCATCAGAAACATCCTCCTCTGATTAATCACTGTCAAGCGGGAAGTTTATTTGCTTGTCTTCCTTGCCATTTATGCCTCCAACCAACTTGCAAATGTAAACTCTCGTGATGCTCTTGTGTATGGACGTATGAGTCACTATGACATATTACGAACAGACTTCTATCCTTTTTTACGCCTAAAAATTATGAACATAATTAGTGACATAGGGCAGTCCTGTGGAGTCCAACATACACTGGAAACAATTTTGACTTAATGCCGGCAATGCGAACCAAACTCCTACTCTGTTCATACAGGGACAAGACAGCCCTTAACATAGCCCTTCTGACCCCATACTCCCAGAGCACCCTCCACAGAATGCCACGAGGGACTGCCTTCTCCAAGTCCACAAAACACATGTGGACAGGTTGGGCATACTCCCATGAACCCTCGAGCACCCTGGTGAGGGTATAGAGCCGGTCTAGTGTACTACGGGGCAGACAAAAACCACAGTTTCTCCTGGATCACAGGTTCAACCATCTGCAACCAAACTCATATAACCGTAGGCATCCTGGATCTTTATTCTCCTTACCTTTCTCCTTAAGATATCTATAGCTCCTTCCTATCTTCCATATATTTTAAACACTAGCATATTACATGCTTGTTCGTTATTCATGAACCCTTTTCACATTTACAAGTTTCTCAGTAGCGGAAGTTGTTGTTTTCAATCCAAGAGTGCACAGGGGTCGATTCTTCGTACCTCGCTTAAATGATCTAAGATTATTTGGCAGATCCCGGATCTTTTCATCCCGATAACTGATCTCTCGCTAATTTGGTTCTTCAAACGAGTTCACGAATCAGATTAGAATGTCTGGATAAACTGATCTGAGATCGCTGATCTATCAATCCTCGAAATCATGATCAGCAATGCAACGATTGGCTGACGGCACAGCAGCGTAATGACATCATCTGATTAATATTCAATTATCCATGTGAGCAAAATTACATCAAATTAGCAGTAAATGGTTTGTTAAATATGACACGCAGTAACTTCACATTTGTTGTGAGCTGCAGGCTTTACACTTTCATGTGTCAAGAGTATTCATCATGTATTTCAATGCAAATCAGTGTATTTAGTTCCACATTTAGAAAAGAT